GAACCCAATCATGTGCCTGGTACATAACATGTGCTCAACAAATCTTTTATGAGTACACAAATGAAATACATGAATGAATTTGTTTTCTTTAAAGAGTGAGTGGACAAGCTAAAATGACACAATACTCACATGTTATGACAGTTGAGACACCAGATTTTAGTCTAACTCAGGCAAGAAACTTGAGTAAAAACGACATTGTTCATAAATGAGATATAGGGGCCAGGAGCTGGCATCTGGGTTAGCTATATTGGCAAGTTTCTGAGATAAACTGTAGATGTTTACTATGAATATACCCCAGATATCCTTACTGCACTCATTAATGCCAGGGGCATCCAGTAGATTTGGGGCAAGAAAGGAGAGAGAAGTGGGACTGGCTCACAGGAGAAGGGGTGAGCTGTCTGCTATCCATCATTTAATAACCTACTGAGAGACCCCTCTCTGGTTCTCTCAGGGAATTAAGAAATATGAACTCTTAGAAGAGTGATCTCATGACACTCCAGTCCAACCCATCTCTGGCTACAAAAATATCTGAGATGCACTTGTAATACACAATATTCGAGTATGAATTTGGCCTCAGAGTTAGGTGTCCCATTTAGCATCAGATTACAGACAGTTGAAAAGAATCCACCTGGTCCGCTTTATCACAAGATCCACCCACCCTGCTGGAGATGTTTATCCTGCAGAGGGAGGGCACAGTCAGAGAGGCTCAGAAGGTAAACAAGAGAGCAGCGGCACCCCATGAAAACACACTCCTTCGCTTCCCAAGTGTCATGCCTTTCCAAAGGAAAGAGCAATCTGAATTCCAGCGTTCCAGGTGACAGAATGTCTATTCCCAGAAAACAGATGATCCCACACTCCGACATGGGGCCCACTCTGCCTGGGACTGTGCCCTGGCTCCTAGCCAGGCCTGGGCCCCCATCTCCTTAACACTATCATGAATATCAGCCCAGGTAGTTCTGTAGATCAGAAAAAGATACCCTGTCTCTTTATTTTTACTATTAAAAAAAAACCCACACTTTTTCATCCTTCTTTGCTTTCCACTATTTTCCAGTATCCCTCCTTCCCCACCCTTTCCATTAGAGTCAGTATTCAAAAAAAAAAACCAACCCTGAGAATTGGGTCACACGGGTGGAAGGAAGGAGAGTGGGAGTATTCGTGCTTCTCATTCCAAGTCCTTCTGGCTTCTAGAATTGTAAAGGCCAGCAGTCAGCCCTTTCGGCGCAAAGGGAAGGAATCTGCGGGAATTCTTGTGGAAGGAGAGAAGACACTAACGAGGAAAGATGTTTTCATAAAAGAGCTTCGTGTCTGGAAGGGGGTGACCAAGAAGGGGGCTTGGGAAGAGGGGTCAGGGCCCGCAGGATGGGAAGGGGGTGAGAGTGAGTTTATGTAAAGTGGAAGGTTCTGAAGGAAGAGAGCCAGAGAGGCAATCCACCCACGAGAACTGGGAGGAGGAGGAGAGATGGAGAAGACGAGCTGATGAATACTTTGAACCCGAGCCAAGAAAATTGAGTAATGAGAAACCATGGCACTTGTGACTTATTGTGCATGCAGATTCTATGTAGCTTTGGGCAGTGAGAGGGAATTTCAGAGTCTAAAGTCACTTGTGTGTGCAGCTGTCTTGGTGTACGAGGATGAACTGGAAAATCAAATATGAGATATGTGGTGTGCATGTGTGTGTGTTGCTCTGAAGACCCTAAAGGAGAATCCCCTCCTGCCACTGCAGCCCCTCCTGGGGACCCAGGGTCTGCCCCCACCCCCTGCTGTCATGCAACACTGGACTGGAGCCGCCTTTCCAGGTGGTCATCCAAGACAGATCCTATTTGTAGCCCCCCAGTCCCCTGGTTTCAGAGACTTCCTGGGGGGGGGGAGGGTTATCTTCTCATCCACAGGCCTTTCCTCTGAGTAGAAAGTCACAGTTCTGTGACATACACTGTGTTGTAAATCTCAGTAGGGTATAAATGGAGCAGCATGAGTGAAAGGGATTTTCAGCTGAGATCAAAGGCCAGGTAGCAGGACAGATGGGACATCAACAACTACCGGTCATCTCTTGGTCCCTTCCTCTGGTCCATGACCTGCAATTTCACTGGCCCTCCTTGCTATTCCTCAAACACCCTGTGCACCTGCTGTCTTTGCCTGAAGGCTCTGACCCTGCACATCGAGGGACTTGGAGATCTCCTTATCTAAATTGTCTCCTGCACCATGTCACCCACTTTAAACTTTTTTATGGCATTTACTACTACCTGAGCCTATCTAGGGTATCTTTTGTGTTTCCTACAAGGGAGTTTTCTGCCGTAGGTACTTGTTTAGCTGACTTCCCCAGCCCTCCTATTCCATATAATCATGAAGACAGCCTTTAAACAGTAAAGAATGAGGGAGACCAGTGTTGACAAAGACCCACCCACAAGAGCAATGCTTTTTATTAAGGAAGTAAATATCTGAGGGTTTGCTTTTGTTGTGTGGTTCTAAGAAGGCTCAGAGGCCCCCAGGTGAGTTCAAAGTCCCCTGTGTTTACCGGGTAGAATAAATCTTATTATAATAGACACACTAGAATTCGCAGACAGAGAGGGCTTGGCTCTTTCTTTGACTCATCTCCATAGAGATGGTCCTCTGTTTGCAGCTGGCCTGGACTCTGGTGGGGGAGGAGGTTAGGGCTGGGCACACAGGAGTTTAAGACACTTTCAAGGCTCCCTGGCTTGCTTTGATCACGGGCCAGTAGCTGCTGCAGGTGGCAGCCCTGGGTTTCTGCTCAGCAGGGTCCCAGCTCTTGGGTGCACATGTGGAGAAGGTGTGAAAACCTTCTTTCTCTGGAGCCCAGGCTCAGCCAGCAGCCAGCAGCCAGCCCAGGGCTCCTTAGTCAGGGCCAGCCTCATGGCCTCCTTGGGGAGAGTCCACGACTTCCCCTGTGTCAGCCCTTCACCATCAGCTCCGTTTCCACGCCCAGCCCTGCACCTCCACCTTCCTGCATCCCAGTGCCCCCAAGGGCTCTCCTGGCAAGGTTCACCCAGCCTGCTGTGTTCGGCCCTCCACTTCCCAACTCCTTAGCCCCATCCTGGGACCCCCTGCTTCCACCAGAAGAGCAGGGGCCAGGACCACCAGGTACAAAGATTCTCTGGCAGGCCATTTATCTTATCTTTATGAGCTGCAACTTGGGTAAGTCACTTCTTGAAACTCCATTTCTTTATTTGTAACTATTGGATAAATTCCCTGATTTAACTCAGAGCATCTCTTGGCTCCAAAAAGACAATGAACAGTTTACACACTGGTCTTATGAATCGCCAGTTCCCAGTTCTTTGGGAGCTAGTCCAGGCGATACAATGTGACCTAACAAGCAGACTCATGGACAATCAGCTTCCACAGTCAAAGGGTCCAAGGGGATCCACCAATGAGCGGTGGCTTTATTTACATCTGAGCTTTGCCTATATCCAGTCTTAAGAAAAAATTGTTGAAGATGAGGATGTTGGCATCAGGCTGAGCTCTAAAGCAATAGCTTGAGGGAGAAGGGGCTTTGCACACTCAAATCACTATTTTGGCAATTGTCCTCTTAACCTATACACAAGGCTGACCCAGTTACATACAAAGTCTAATAATCTGGGCGTGGCCAAATGTGGTCCCAGAGGCCACCATCACTGTTACACAACTAATCATTTCGCAAGTCTTGCCTCATTAAAACTATGTTTTTCTCTCAGTTTTGTTTGTCTTTCAAACACCCTGATTACAAATTGCAGACCTGGGCAACCCCAAACGAAAGTCTCATCATCTGGCTTTGGCAATTTCCTCTCCAACTAACTGTGGGAACAGAAATATAGACTCATGGGTGCAGGGGGTGGGTGGGATCTTGGAGGTCGGGGGGCTATCCTCCCATCAGGGTCCTCAGCCAGTCGACATGATCATTGGCTTATGGAATCCCTACTTGGTGCCAGATGCTTGGGTGCTGAAGGAACTTCGCCAAGACACTGAGCAAGATCCTGTCTCTGATCTCACAGAGGCTTGTCAATAAGCAGTTGGGACACACCTATAAACACAGTCTAGTTGTACACTCAGGGGGCTGAGGGGCCTGGGGGAGGGAATGTCACCCAGGGTTAGGGGGTCAAAGGGCTTCTTGGGAGAGGTGGAATCTTTCCTCCAGCCCCGACTTTCCTGAGGTATAACTGACAAAATATTCTGCACGACTTGATGGACCGCTGTATGCATACGTGGCGGAATAATCACCACTCAAGCTAATTAGCATACCCCCCACCTCCCAGGATGCCCATTTGATTTTGAGAAGTGGAGTTTTGCAGGGAAAAAAAAAAAGGAGTGAGCTAGAAGGAGGCGCAAAGGGGGAAGGAAGGTGTTCCAGGAAGAGCTTAGAGCATGTGCACGTGAGGGTGGGAGGCAAGAAAGGAAGGATAGGAAGAGGGAAGGGAAGGGAAGTAAGGGAGCCAGCCAGGGTCAGGGGACAAACTGTGCTCAGTGCTTATTCAGGGAATGGCCAGGAGTCTCCAGCCTGAAGTGAGAAGTTCAAGGTGAGGGGTGGTGGGAGTGAGGCTGGAGCAGGCAGTGGACCCCCCACTCCCCCACCAGGAGGAGCCTTGCCAAGGAGGTGGGACTTCCTCCCGACCAGGTTCAGGGCACACCACTTCCAAACATGGCACCCGCTGCCTTTAAGAAAGCAGGAAGGCTGCGCTTACCTTCCCCAACTCTGAAGCAGGACCTAAGACCCTCGTGTGAGAGGTGGCCTCCTTGAAGCTGGAGGAGAAGATCATCCTTATCTCTGAAGACCTGGGGACACTGAGAAGAATCTCAACAACAGACATGGCTGAGATCCCAAGTTCACTGCCATCAGATCCCACCCCCTTTCCACTCATGCTCCTCCGTGCCTCTCCACTCTTCCCCACACAGAAGCATGAATATGCACAAGTTTTCCTGTTTCTCTCTTTCCTTCCTGAGGCTCCGTGTCAGGGAAAGCTTGCATCAAATGTACATGCCTGACTTTTTCTTGTGGCTGGATTTTGTCCCAGGGACCTCAGGCATGAACCTAGCAAAGAGAGAAGAAAGGAGACTCTTCCTGCCCTGCACTCCCAGAGACAAGGTGGTGAACAGTACAGCCGTTAGAGAATGCTAGGTGAGTCCTCAAGTCTCTCAGGGGTCCCATCAGCGGACCATTCGTTCCACTGTGAGCCAGGTCACATGGTAAGTAAAATATTTGTCAAACAGAGCCTGAAGCTGCATCCAAGAGGACAGGCATGGTCCCCGCGGTTCCAAGAGCAATGTTCTCCATGTCTGAAGACCCTCCCTGCCCATCCCATTTCCTCTTTTCAGGCTTGACAAGCCCAGCCCCCCACTTCTCTTGGGAAGCATGGGGTTTGGAAAGTCCAGCTTTCTCCCTCTTACCTCTCCTCTAGAGAAGTGAGTTGTCTACACCACAGAGGTTCCACTGGGGCATAGATGGAGCAGGTGAAAGCAGTCCTGGAGTGCAGGGTGGACGTTTGCACTGACAGTGAGCCCACCTTTCTTTGCCTCTTAGCTACCCACTTTCTCTCTGCTCTTGCCTCTTGCCCCAGGAGCATTCTCTTTACATGTTGCTTGCTTTGCTAAGCTTCAGGTCCAGTTACCAGGGTTCTTTTGACAGCATCTTACTCTGAACCCATGTAAATTTGAAGTCAAATTGGCAACATGGTAAGAAGCGCCTCCAGAGTCACAAAGACCCGGGCTGGAAATGTGGCTCATCTGGTTAATATCTGTGTGACTTCAGGCAAGTGACTTAATTTTTCTGAGTTTCTGCTTCTTCATAGGTATAGTGCTTACAACTAGAGCTTTCCTCTTTAGATTTGTCTTTAGTATTGTGGAGAAGTTCCAACTTTCCCACTGAAGGGTTTGATATTTGATCCTGGCAATAGACAGGTTAATAGGAGCAAAGGCATGAGACATTTACTTAACCGTCCTTTTATGGGTAACAGGAAGCTTCAGACTGAAGACCTAATGACCCAGGGCAAACTATCCATTTTTAGTGTAGGTTCGACAAAGCATGGGTGGCCATGTAGAGATAAGATTGGGTAGAAAAGGTATGACCTAGTGGTAATGGATTGAGGGGGAAAAAAAAATGCTTAGATTCTTCTTGACCTCCTAGGTAAGGGGCAGGATCTTCTCTAGAACCAGATCTTAAGACCTATAATTAAATAAGCTGTGTCCCCCTAGGGATTCATCTTTCTTTATTTTCTCCGGCAAGTCTTACAGAAAGGTCGGGGAAAGTTGTAGCAATATTCTCAGCTTTTATGACTGGCTTTGGAGGAAATGGATCCTGGTTTCTATGACCCACCTTGGGGAAGAGGAATTCTAATTTCTGTGGCTTGCTTTAGGGAAGAAGGGGAAGCGTCAGAGAATAGGGCAGGAGAAAAAGAAAATTCACTTCAGAGGATACTTCTGAGGCCTCCGCTGGGGGGTACCATTTTCTGAGCTCCCAAAAGCAAATGGCACACACTAATAACTATAAAAGATAGAAGTGACAATGGTGGTCTTGCTCTTCCTCACAGTGATACATGGTTTCACTCTGATTAGTTACTTGGAGCCTCAGTTTCCCCATCTGCTGAGAATAGTAGCAAGGATTTGGCAGCACTATTTAAGGATCTAAGTGCACAGTGGATCTTGGAGCATGTTTACTTTCTTGACTTTGACCTCCAGTGGATCCCCGGCCTCCGCTAGGCCCCTTCCTTCTATCTTGAGATGTTCCTATCAGGGTCCCAAATCTTTCTGGGTAAACATCCTGGGAAAACATGAGGGAGGATCTTCCTTTTGGCTATCCAAGATCAGAGAGTCACACCCTGCTCCTGTTTTATCTCTTATTCTCTCTTTCCTCGCTGCCATGGGCTAAACCGTGTCCACCCACCCCCGACTCTGACACACAGACACACCAAAAAGGAATGTGGAAGTCCTAATCCTCAGTTCCTGTGAATGGGGAAAAAGTTCACTGTGGATTCCATCAAGTTAAGATGAAGTCCTGAGGATTATCCCTAATCCAGTATAACCACCGTTCTTATAAGAGGAGGAGAGAAAAATATGTGAAGACAGAGACACAGGGAGAAGATGATCGCTACGTGAAGATGGAGGCAGACTGAAGTGATTTGGTCTTGTCTTCAATGCATCCCATAGGAAAAGAATAAATAGCCCTGGAACTCCTTGGCTGTCAGCATCTTTTTCTAGCAGTTTCCAAGGGAGGAAGGCTCTGCGGGCACAATGGTATCAGACTTCTGGCCTCCAGAACTATGGGTCTTTGTTACAGAAAGGAATGCATTGTCTCCATTACTAGTTAGAGTCCAAATGATGGAAAGGTCTATTAATTGGTCAAATAAACATTCCTGAAGCCCACCTTTAAAATGGGCAGTTAGTTACCCAATTAGGATTTAGGAATACACTATGTGAATATGTATAAGATAAAATGAGTGCAAACTGAGGGTGTAGCTCAGTGGTAGAGCACTGGCCTAGCATGTGCAAAATCCTAGGTCTAATCCGGAGCACCACACATCAACCCCCGACCCCCAAACACACACACACACACATACACACCACACACACACACACACACACACACACACACACGGTAGATGGAAAAGGGTCACAGTGATCAAGAAGGAAAGAAAACTGCTTTAAAAGGGTTCAAAACACTGCTTCTTAATGGATAAGAGAAAGCAACTTGTAAAAGTTGGAAAGGTCTTAAATGAATGTCAGGACAGGAAGAAAAATATAGGGCCATAATTCAAGGGTCTTAGGGGAGCTGGCATTTTTGTGCTGATTTAATCTAAGATTTCAGCTTTAACAAGGGGTAAGGTTTACAGTCTGAAAATTAGCCACAAGGTATAACTTTACCCCTGACTTAACAGAGAACTTGAAGAATAGAGCAAGCAGCTCTGTCAGAACTTGCCAAGCAACTGCAGAATGCTGTTTGAACAAAGCACAGTTGCCCTGCCTGTGAATTACAGGAAGAAAGGAAGGAAGAAAAAGAGAGAGCTTCAGGGCTTTTCATTCTTTTTCTATGGGATGTATTGAAGAAAAGATCAATTCACAAGTTACAGACCCAGCTGGAAAACGTAGGGCCAAACAAAGCACAGGGGCACGAGTCGCCCACCCCCAACTTGCAGGAGCTCTGCGTCTGGGAGGACATTCAAAGGCAGGGCATGATTGTGGTGGAATCCCCTTGGTACTGGGCTTTTGCAAGCTATATCCAAATGTCATCTGTGTCTTAAAAACCAGAACAGACAGTGATGGCCTTGGAGTTATGCAGAGTACTCAGATCTCTGCTGGTGGGGACGGGGAAGGAAATGGGGCCTTGCACATCGGACAGAACCATCAGTTCTCTTGCAGTGGATTGTGGCTCCATATAAGCACCTTTAAGACTTCCTGGACATCTGATGTTTTCACTTACACAGCATCCCTTCCAACCCTACTTTTGGGAACCCTGTTCTGATTTTCCCCTAGGGATTCATCTTTCTTTATTTTCAGTCCCAGGTTGTAGGTGTGAGTACATGACCACAGCCTGACCAATCAGGGTATTTCATTGTCCTGGAGCAAGGTAGTAATTGTTTTAGAGAAGGCATGTGACTAAAGCCTGGCCAATCAGGGTAGTCCAATGGTAGTAATTGTTTACGGGAAGGCACATGACCACAGCCTGGCCAGAGTAATTCATTGTCCTGGAGGCAGTAACCGATTTAGGGATGGGCACATGTCACAAATCAGCCCAAAGAAGTTTTGTGGAGGAGAAAAATAAAATAAAATGGAATAGCGTTATTTGGGGCACTTAAAATAGTTGAGAGACTACTGTCAAACCAAATCTCAGACGTGTCTGCTACTGAACCTTTGGATTGGGCCAGAAACGCATGAAAGATGACCTTTGAAATAACACTAATCTCTATTGACCTTGTATACAACAGACCCCATGCCCCATACTACCCAGAGTCTGAGGCTGTACCCAGTCTCTTTTTCATAAACCAACATCACTTCTGCCAGCAGCAATCATAATCCCTGTCTAACAAATGATGTCATTACCAGCCCCCTTGTGGCTTAAAGCTATAAACCCAGCTGCCATCTTGCAAAACCTCAGAGCACATTCTCAAGACTGCAGGAATCAGTGTTGGCCTGCACTGAGGTCCTAATTGGCCCAATTTCTTGCCATTTTCTTCTTTTCTTGACTAGACTGATTTTATCTTAGGTCACAGGTTGATCCTAAGAACTTCGGCAAAAGCTATTGGTGCCGAGATGAAGGCAGCTGGGTTGCTAAGAGCGCTGGAGGCCTGTGGAGCTGCCGCCATCTTGCTATCACATGGGAAGAGGCAGCCTGAGTGTGTTGAGGAGCAAGTGCTAATGAGACTGAGCCCCTGGATCCAGCTGCAACCAAAGCTTTTTTTCTGTTGCATGAACCAATATACTTCTTCCTTTGGTTTACTTAAGATTTTAGAAGTTATGTATCTTTTACTGGCAACCTAAAGATTTATAACACAGATCTTGGTAAGCTGCAATAGGTATGATGGCAAATATCATGGAAATTTAGAGAAGCCAGAGAGATTTATATGGCATATTGGATCTGAAAACTTGTAAAATAGGAGATGACATGACCATGAGGAAAGAGTACAAAGAGTATTTTGAAAACATAAATCGATGGTATTATTCCTTTAAGTCCTTCTGGAGTGAGGGAATAGAAACAATGTTGTTAGAAAGAAAACAATAGTAATCTGATTCTTCTTGCAGTATTATGGCATCATACAGACCTATCCCAAGAGCAAGAACTGTGGGTGAGGATAGGCTCTGCGCTAGGGAGACCAACTCTTCTTCTTGTCTGGGACTGTCCCTGTTTTAATGCTGAATGTCACTTGCCCTGGGAACCCCTTAGTCCCTGGCAAATCTAGATGGTCATTCATGTGCTTTTCTAGTCTGATCAGGTCATTTTACTTTTTCGAACCTCAGTTTCTTCATCAGTAAATAGGGCATATGTGGCAGGGGGAGGGTGTGGTGGGAGAACCAGCTGTAGTTTTCAAGTCATGATTTGGGGAGCTGCAGGCATTTGTGAAGGGCCACCACAGCCACTCCAGAAGGGGAAGGTGCTGAGCACCCTTTTCTGCTGTAGCCAGAGGAGTTTTTTTTTTTTTTTTTTTCCTGTGTGTTTTAAAAATAGGGATCTACCTAAGATTTGCTGGAGGGAGGGAGGACCTGCTCACCGAGGGACCTCCTCCAGAATGCCATGCTTTCTTTTCTTTGTTAAGAGGCAAATGGTTCTTATAGACCAGTGTTCCTGCACCTGGCTTCTCCTCCTAAGAGCCACTGAGGAACTTTAAAACAGTGTACATTCCTGGCTACCACCCCTGGAGGCTTTGGCTCCCCTGGAATTGGGTGGAGCTTGGGACCTGTATCTTTTTAACAAAATCTTTGCAGGTGACACACATATGAATTATTGACAAATGTCAGTATGTTAACTATGATTAATAATAAATTACTTTCCACACACCTCACAAATGGCCAAGACATCACTGTTCCAGAAGCCATGTTCCAGAACATCTCAAACTTTCCATGCATCAAGAGGAAGGCTCTTTAAAAAAACAGATGACTGGGCCCCATCTCCAGGGTTTCTATTAAAGTAGGACCTGGAAGGGCCCAGAAATTCGCATTTCTAAAACACTTCCTGGAAGGTATTGGCTACATTCAGTAGCATCATTTTATACCACCAACTCCAGTAAGTTGCCTGGTCTCTTTGAATTCTGTCATCACTGTATCCTCCCCTCTCCCTCCCCCCCCCCAAGCACTTAGCAAATTATTGATGAATAAATGAGTGGAGAAGGGGTTTGTAGGCTTCGGTGATAGCCACCTTTCTTTTTTTTTTAAATTAAAATTTAAATAAAAAATTTTAATTGCTAAGTAACGATAACACGTATTTGTGGGGTACCATGTGATATTTCAATGCATGTATACAACATGAAATGATCAGATCAAGGTAATTGGTATTTTCATCCCCTCAAACATTTATCATTTATTTTCTACTGACTTTCTAAAGAATCTTGTGGCCGACACCCTTTAACATGTGAGAAAGATTGCTACTGGCTATCTAAGGGATATTGTCTCATGGAACTGTGGTTGAGAACATGGGTGGGAACAACAGGATTTCCTGCTCTTGGCTTTAGGGACTTTATGCTGAATACATAGAAGCAACTGCTTCTTTCTGTCTTGGAGCCTCCAGCCAAGTCCACTGGGCTTACTCAAAGACTCCATTTTGCTTTGTTTTTCACTGTCTGAGGCCAGAAGACTTAATTTTCTTCTACCAATCCCTCTCTGGCTTTCTTTAGCTTCTTGTTGTATTTAAGTTTTTAAATCAATTTGCTGGGATGTTATGCAAGCAATTCTGGTTGCTCCAACTCTTTATTCCTGTGGCTAAGCTTGTCATGGTTTCTCTGCAAGCTCCAGATGACCACTCTGATCTCTGCTCTGACTCGACAAGGCACCCAGTCATCCTGCATCCTTTGCCTTGTTTGGGGGGCTCTGTTGGGGCTGGAACAGCCACGGGCAGCTTGGCACTATCTTTCCACCCCTCATTAGTACAAGAAATGTTTCTTGGACTACAGAACCTATCATGGCCACCACCCAGACCTCAAGGCCAGACACACCCCAAATAAAGTTAGAAAGGAGGAGAAACCACTGACCATCATTAGCCACTAAATAGGGGGTACTCGGTCCAAGTTCTGGAGGAACATTCAGATGGTTAAGTGGCTTTGCAGCCTTTATGTAACTGTTGAAATAAGAAACAGCATTCAGAAAACAAACACAAATAACAATCATAGAATTGAAAGAGAGTTTCCCTCTATTTCAGATCCTGCTTCTGGGGTGGTGACACGGACAGTCAATTCGTTGGCATTACAGTCCCACGTTTGCTAGGAAAACAAGATGTGTGTCGAACAGGCAGGAAATAGACGACCTTCCCAACTCCTCCCTGCAGAGAGGGTTTGGTTCTGACCAGAACCTGAGCTTATGGAGAAATAATCTCTTCTAAATCAGTTCTATAAAATCAGCCCAACTGAAGAGCCACGTCTGTGGCAAGGTGCAAAAGCAGCCTTATCTACCATCCCACTCAGGGGTCCCCACAGGTCCCTTCTCCAGAGTGACTGCTCAACAGTCGGCAGCAGCTGCCCAGCTATTGCCCAGTGGTAGTCAGCAAGGCAGGAAGCATGCATTTCCCCCTGCAGGGCAGAGATGCCTGCCAGAGGAGAACTGTCCCCTGGTGCACACTGGTCTAGGAGGCTTGGCCATGTGTGCTCTAGAAACATCCAGAATCTTCTTTGTGTTGTGTTAATGACATTTGTGTTTCAGGAAACACCTTTGAATCTTGCTGACAGGAAACTGTCTTGTTAGGTAATTAACACAAGGGAGGATTCAAAAGTTTTCCACTTAGAAACCTTGTGCACTGGACACTTTCCTTGTAGGGAGTCTATTGGGCTTTCACAACATGGTAGGTCATGGAGGGCAGGGCACTTGGAGGAGGGAGGGAAGGTGACCTGCATGTCCCTCTTAACATTGCCACTGGTCTTGGAATCAGGACATTTTTGTTTTTCCTGATTTACAAAATGTGTGCTGTCCCACAGGGGAAAGATTATGGGTGATTAAGAGATTGAAACCCACTCGTGCCATTCACAGAGATCAAGGAAATTCAAATACTGAGAGAAGGGCCAAGTTCACACCCTTGCAGGCATCAGAGAATGGGAAAGGCAGACTGTTTGTGGCCCCAGATGTACATTCTCACTACTGGGGGGAAACTCAGTGGTCCTCAAAATTCATCTTTCTCATGGTGGGTTGAAAAAAAAATTTTTTTTTGTTAAGAAACACAATGAGTCCAAATAGCTTATAGAACTTGAGAGAATCGCTTTATGTGGGGAGAGAAGAGAAAGTCCCCACTGCATGGGGCAGCAGCACTCAGGAATCTGAAGGTCAGATGCATTAGGGAGGGAGAGCTAGCAGGGGAGGAAGGGAGTCGAGAGCAGGATCCATGTTTACCTCTGGGAAGCAAAATCATTGGAGAAACAAACCAGAACTTTCCATAAAGCCTTTCTGTTTACACTTGGAAGAACCCAGAAGCAAAGGCAGTGTTCCCAGGAGTCTACAGGTACCATGTTGCTACGTTTGGATTTTTCCAAGGAAGTGTCTGGAGGCAACATTGGCCTGATGTTCTGGCACCAGCTTGGAGAGAACTACCCTCCGGCCCCTATTTCACAGGATTGGCTATTTATTTGTTTATTGGTAAATTCATGTTAACAGAAATAACTACGTATCTAACAGTTCAGAGTGATCTAGAAGTTCTTCTCATGCTCTGTGCCAATTTTACTTTCTCCTTGTGTCCTTCTAGACCTCCTCCTCCACCTTGATGGTTGAAGTCGTTTCAGCAGTTCCTCAAGAGCTGCTTTAACCACGAGGAGGCAGAGTGGAACATTCTTCTCTTTCATGATGTCCCAAACAAGTTGCCACATGGTAGCCCTGGTCTGAAGGAGATCCAGCATATAAGGTTGGCATCCCACCCATTAAACATGGTCTTTGTCATGAAGACATTCTCTGGTTGAGACCTCTTGACATGTTGGTGTTCCCTTTGGTGACCAGAGACAGTCAAGTCTCCTGAGATTCGTTTCATGCTATTGAGGGGTGACCATATCTTGAAGCACTGTGGTTGACAGTTGTGTCACAAAGTTATCAGTCTTCTGTAATCTCTGCCTGTATCATGACAGAAGGAGGATGTTGTCCTCTTATCACAGGTCAGTGTGGTAATCATAGCTGAACCATTTAATGGTAGCAGAATTCTGTAGGCTTTGGTTGATAGCAGGTCACTCAGTGCAGGGAGAATACTCCTTCCCAGCTCTGGTTCTGGGATTCCAGGACACTGCCAATGGAACAAGACTCAGTGTCCAAAACCATGCAAAAGGGGAAGTGTGGATCCATTAAAAAGAAACTGGAAGAAAAGAAACTGGATTCGTCTTGAGTTGTAACCACCATGATTGCCCCAAGGTGGCTGTAATTTTTCCTGCACGGTTTCCCAGCAAACTATAAATAAATCAAACCATTAGAATGGCATATGGAGCTTTACAACTGGACCCTGGCACCAGGAATGTGCCTGGCTGACATTTTCTTAAGATAAAAAGGTACAAATTGGCTAAGATAAAGTCATTTTTCCATATATGTGTATATTCTTTTCTTAGCCAAATTGCAGGGATCCACTTGAACTTCACCCCTGCCACCCAGCCCGGAGCTTCTCAGTAAGTCCCCTAATAAGTTGCCCTCTGTGCCATCCTGGATCTGTCTGCCTCTTCAGTCTCATGGCACCTGGGGCCAGTTCTCCTTCCGTGGGACCAGGTTGTTCCAGAACACTCCCTTAGGACAAGGAAAGTGTGACATACAAGGAAGGAGAAATCACTGGAGGCTGGAGTGGGCTGGGGTGTTCAAGAGAAGATGTCAAGAAAATGCAGGAATGTGAGCTAAGCCTGGTATGCCGTGGTGGGGAGAGAAATTCATTGGAGCATTGCAGAGGCACTGATATCCAGGGAGGTGCATTAGGAAACAAAAATGTTTTCATGAATCATGGGATGCTGGCTGCTGGACTGAATTCTTATGTATGTGCCAAATTTTCATGTTGAAACTTGACCCCCAATGTAGCGATAATAGGAGGCAGCACCTTTGGAAGGTGACTGGATCATGAAGGTAGAATCCTCATGAATGGGATCAGTGTCCTTATAAAAATGACCTCCCAGAACTTTCTTGCCCCCTCCCTGCCATGTGAGGGTACAATGACAAGGCAGCACCTGCAGGCCTGGAAGATGGACCTCACCAGAATGCAACCAAGCTGGCACCCTGATCTTGGACTTGTAGTCTCCACAACTGTGAGAAATAAATTTGTTGTTTGTAAGCCACCCAGACTTGGGTACTTTGTGATAGCATCACTCTGCTTTTATCTCTCATCTCTTACTTTTCCTCTTTCCCGTGTGTTTTGCCTCTTGCTTCTCCTTTGCACATCTTAAGTCATTCAGCAGTGACCAGAGGCCCAGCTATCAGTAACCAGTGCTTTGACCTCCTTGTCCCATGAAATTCACATAGTATTTCATCTAAATTCCATTGCTTATTCTTCAAATGATATCCAACAACCCATTCACTTATGCTTTCATTTTAGGTCTCTTCTCTTGCTTAATTTTCTCATTAGAAGAAGAAATTTGTGTAGGTGTCAAGATTCGGCCCTAGGTTGGCTGCTATAGTCATCCAAGAAATGTCCACCTACTCACTTGGGATATGTTGTAAACCATCATGCTCAAAGATGGGCCTTTTTTTTTTTTTTACATAAATGCATCAGGATTTGGTTGTCAGTGGAACAGAACTTTATTGAACATCTACCATGTTTGAGCTCTATGCTAGGCTCTATGGGAACAGAACCAAGACATTTTTAAAATCTTCATTTATTGGAATAGACAGATGCATAATAACTAACCATGTTAACATTAAAATAAATTATTGCTTCAAGATGTTTTGCATTGTACTCTCTGCCCACACGGCAATCTGCATTGATGATGCATCTTTTGTTAAATTCATCTCAAATTCAAAGGATTCTTCTAGCCCTGGCCCCATTTCTAAATCCTCCCACTTTTAAAAAAACTAAAATACTCCCTTAATTGGCTGTAAAAATGGATTAATGGGTTTCCATGGGGAGGGGGTGGGTAAAAGAATTTTTTTTTCCAGAAAATTTTTTAAGCCTATAGGATGGTTTCAGTTGTCATGTGAAATTTACTATCTAGATCTTACAAAAAGAAATTCTTGGGGGCATTATGGATACATATCCTAAAATATAAAGGACAGCAAAAAAAAAGATTGTCCTAAGTCCAAAACATGCTCATGTGAGGCAATAAGGCTCCAGAATATGAGTATACTCTAAGAATAATTTTAATCAATGAGAATCCTGTAACGTAGTGTGATAAGGCTTAAGGAACTATGTGTTCAGTGTAGTCAAGCTGTAGGTAAGGGATTCATCCACTGTGAACTTGAGAATGGAGAGATCCATTATCTCCATTTTCCGGTCATGGTTTAAGGGGACCATTTTAAGGAATAGCCAAGTGTAAGGTACTGATGTAAGCAATGGATACATATTACTCATCTAATTTCACAACAATCCAATAAGGCTGTGTGCAGAAAAGAGTTAACATGGGGGCCTGAGACTGCTGTCCTTGGAGGGTCTGCTTGCATGGTCGGCCCTTCTTGGCATCAGGGATATTGTACAGCGCCCCCACTATTCCATGACAATAGAGGTGCGCCATGTTGGAACTCTGTGTGCCATGGATGTTTATGCTGAGCACCTGTTTCCCTTCTTGGAGTCTGAAATTTGGGCATATGGTAGAGGGTGCCTAAGTGACCAGCTCCCAACTCAATCTCTGATGAGCTTCCCAGGTCAATGTTTCACACCTGTCATAATTCATTGTTGGAGAAGTTCTGTGCGTCTTGTGTGACTTCATGGGATGGGGTTCTTGGTAGCTCGTGCCTGGCTTCTTCCATGTGCCTTTCCCTTTGTGAGTCTTGATGAATGGCCTTTTGATGTAATGGAACCTAGTTGTGTGTTTGATGTATAGAACTGAGTTGTGGGTATGACTATATGATGAACACTGACTCACTGGGCCTGAGGATGATCTTGAGAATCCCCCCCCCCGCCCCGCCCGAAAGGTGTGTGGCATTATTATTTTCATTTTAAGAGGAAGCTGATTCATGGAAAGGTTAAGTAACTATCCCAAGGCCACACAGCAGGTCCATGGCACAACCAAGATTTGAACCCAAGCAGGCTGGCCACACAGCCCTAGCTTCTTAACTCTATGGAGGATCAAAAATTATAGCTATATCACCTCCCTTGTTGGGTGGCTATGAATCAGAGGAGGCAGGTTTGCTCAGAACATACTAGATACTCAACAAAAAAATATATTTACGCTATTATATTATTACACATAGCCCCGATCCTTTCCACCTATTAAGAAAATCTACCAGATTTTGGGTTTATAATTTTATCTGTTATGATAGCTTTTCTTTATAAGATAAATGTATCATTGCCCCTTATGAGGCCTCCTGGTCTCCAGCTGTGGGGAGAGACTAGGTGCAGTAGGTGATAGTGATAAAGTGCATACAGTAGGCTGGGTGTTTAGAAGAACTGACAGGGACAGAGGTAGGAGATGTGACTGGTTTCTGGGGAGCCCCTCTCATTACAGTGGCCACACTGTATACCACCCATCCCCCAACTGGGGACACTTTAGAATAAATAGTCAACGTTCTATTTGCAGCAATTACTTATTTCTCCATCACCTTCATCTCTTCCTACCTCTCAAACTTTCTAATTAATGCAGAAACACCCTGTTTCTTTCCCCCGAGGGAACCAAATGAGGCCAGCATTCCATAGACCTATTCTTGCATTACTTTCAAAGAAAACAGTTCTTCCTGCGAATGCCTGTCGGTGGTCTCTCACAACTTGGTAGATCAAGATGTCCCAGCTATAGGCGAGCTGGTGAAAGCACAGTACATCTTGTGGTAGAATTGGGTGGGGGTTGGGGGGTAAAATTAAAAAGGTGACCCTAATTTAAAACTTCCTCTTCTGCATCTGTTCCTTGAAATTTTTCTTCACTAGAGAAGCCAATCTCCTTATTAAAAAGCACATAGCGGGAGTGGGGTGGCAGGAAGCTACACCAATACATCAGTGAGATTGAATCTTTCCTTGTAAGCCCAGTTTTGATAAAGTAAAATTGGAGGGAGCCTGTGGATATTAGGGACTTGAAAAGGGGGCTTGGTCATAACAAGTACTTAGGGGGAAAAAAGGAAAGAAAAGAAAAGGGATATGGAATATTTGGGATGAACAAATAGTGGTATCAAAGGATTACTTGTATGATCAATTTTTCCATGGGATGGCCCTCTGTGTGTGAGAGGTAGAAATAACAGGAAAACCTCGTGTCTTGAGATAAAAGGTTTTAGTCTGAGAAAAACTGGTGTCTTCGTACCAGACCTGAAAGCTGCAAGGATCTACAGCAAGGAGCTCCCCAGGATTGGGTGACCTCCTTTAAGCAAATGGCTCTGGCAGGAGACCTGAGCTTGGGTCCCAGGTGCACCACTTGATCAGTTGCCCAGTCTTAGCTAAGTCCCCTCATCATCCTCTGTAGTCGCCTCAGTGTCTTGAGTTGCAGAGTGGGGCATATAATACAAACTCTCTAAGCCAGTCCCCCCAAACCAAAGGCCAAATGTTCTCTCTGATCTGTGGATGCTAATCCACACCAAGGGAGCGTGGGGAGGGGAAGAAATAGAAGTCCATTGGATCAAAAGAGAATGAAGGGAAGGGAGGGGGATGGTAATGGGAAAGACAATAGAATGAATCAGACATGATTTTTCCATGTTCATATGTATGAATACACGACTAGTGAAACTCTACATCATGCACAACCTCAGAAGGGATCCGAATTAGAAGAAGTTATTCTCCATGTATGTATAATATGTCAAACTACACTCTAC